GTTCTGTTTCAATAGGTTTTTGGATTATGTTCTGAGCCCTCCTGAGGAGGCAGAGAGAGGAGAAGGTGCACATTGGTAAGTTGGTACCTTGGTCCACTCGTTTTGCCTGCTGAGGATCTCAGAGACAGCAAAACCTCAGCTCTGGTTCAGACTTACAATATGAGAGTACATAAATCCTTATTCTTTTCCTCTTATTTCCTATCGCCTTTATTTTTCTCTGTATTTACCACCATCTGATCACACCTGCTTGCTGTGCCATGCAGCCCAATTGCATGGCAATTTTTTGTACTAGGAGAGCTTGCTGAGGATAAAATATGAGAATGGAACAGATTCAGAAATACTGAGCTTACGAAATTAAATTAATTAAATATGATGAACAAATATAAATGACTCATCCAACCATCAGGCTGGCCTGTCCAAGAATTCTGCCTCACAGCATAAAGCAGAGGCCTCAAGGGGGCACCAGCAGATTAAAGACTTGGATACGTTTTACGACTCTTTGGAAGGATGCAATTTTATTAGACTTTTATCCTTGGATGGCATTGAATTTCACTAACTTTGATTTCTTGCCTCCAAATAAGCTTGATGGAGTGAGCCCTGGGCATTCTAGGTGTTCCACAACTGGAGGGTAGCCCAGGTTATGTGGAGAAAATCAGGGTTCCACCCTCAGCTTTAAAACTGAGTAATTGTATTACAGTGTACAAGTCACTTTAACTCCTTAAGTCTTAGCTTCCTGCGCTTGAGACTAAACAGAACTGTCCTGCCTACTTGACAGGATGTTTATAAGGAACAAGAGAGATCGTGTCTACAAAAATATTTCATACTGTTATATACATAAAGCAGTAAAGATTTTTGTTTTTATCATGACAATAATAAATAATTGCACCAATGGAGAGGCTAACAGTTTTGTCTTTCTTTTCTTTTCCATTAATATTTATTGAATTAATACACGCTAGAGTAGTACCCAGTATTTAGCACTCAATAAATGATAGCTACTAAGATTATTATTCCAAAGGCATGTTTTCAGAGGTTGTTATTATCTCTTGTCAATATGATGTAAGTGGTGATCTCATGGGGATTAAGGGAAAGCAGTTACAGAGATAAGAATGATCTGCCCATCCAATATAAATGCCTATTTCCCATCCCTACTTTAAGTTAGTGGAAAAGGGAAGAAGAGGAGGAAGAGAGGAATCTGGGAGCATTAGTCTAAAACAAGAGTGGCTTAGAAGGAGGGGACATGTATAGAGTGTCCCAAAAAATGTTGATTTCCCCCCACGATCCTTTTTATCTGAAGCTGACACAGAAGCTTAAAATTGTGGATTTCCTTCTCCTCTTTACTACTGATTTTCTGTGTAATCTTAAAAAGAGCTACTTAATAACTTAGTCTTCCCAGGTAAAAATCTGATACCTTCCACCTGTCTAAGATGGACCAATTTCATGTTTACCACGACATAACAAAATATAGGTTATTTTAAGTCCCTCAAAAGAGGCAAGATGTTATCAAACCCAGATAGAACCAGGTGTTTTCTTTCTTTTTTTCTTTCTTTCTCTCTTTCTCTTTCTCTCTCTCTCCATACCTACCTACCTATCTACCTACCTTATTACTCACCCATACACATTTTGGTTGTGGGAATAATAATGTGGGAAGGATCCATTTACAGTAAAATAAAATTTCTTGGGCAGAAAATGGAAAATTATTGACATTATAACTAGGGTTTACAACAGATCACAGTGAGAATTTCTTAATCGAGTTGTCTTCACATTAATCATTATCATCTTCATCTATCACTCCTCTCCCTTTCATTTTGATGCATGTACAAATATTTTATTGGTCTATGAGATAGTGCAATAATATAACAGGAATATATCAGGAGAACAGAACTCCATTTGCTCTGTTCTCTCTCTCCTGTGAATAATCTATTCAGCTGCATGTTTGAAATTATTAAGTGATGAGAGTCATTTTAGAAAATTGCTTCTTCTCAAACTTAAATGTGTCTGAAGTATGTAGTGGTTTTAAGAACTTCTAAGTCCTCTGTTCAATAGGATGGAGGATGATGATAAGGTATGGGTTAGGATATAAATATGAGTTAGATAAACAAAAGATAGATGCACTCACACTATATATATATCTATATATCTCACATCTATCTATATATTCTCTATGTATGTATATTTCATGGTAGAAAATGAAAAACCTAAATATTCCAGGAGGAAGATTTATTTCCTTAACTGAGATAGAATATTCAATAAGTCAAGGAGATAGAAATGAAGATCCCATGAGGAAGAAGACAGTAAACTAAATGTGCTAAGATTATATAATGCAATTGCAAGGATGATTTATCTTTCAGTGTGTTCCCATGTGACTTTCTACAAACTCCTCTTGGTAAGAAATAGAATTCAAAATACCTCGTATTTCAGGTTCACACCAACTTGGGGTAAAAGATAGATTTTTATAAAAACAGTTCAAAGTCTACAGATTATTACATTTGGGTTGAGAAGATAAAAAAGCACTGCCTACTTTCTTTCCCACTTAAACGGGAAAGAAGCGGAAAAGAAAGAGTAAGAGTAATGAAATATATATAGCGAAATATCTGTAAAAACAGAACTCTGAATTAAATAACATTTTTAAAATATGCAAAAATGAAATGAACATTTTCTACTAAAAACGACAAAAAGTAAACTATTAGGTTGCAATTAAGAGATTATCTTAAATCAGAAGAAACACAAATTACGATGGTATTTACTGAACCTTAAGAATAATGGAAAAAGATATACACACATACACACAAATACAGACTAGAGAGAACAGAAGAAAACACATTCTATGAGAATCCCAGATTAGTCATTTTCCATCCAAATAATGACAGCAGTATAGTCTATTTTGAAAAAACTGATTTATGCTAATGTTTTATGGGCATAAAATATGAATGTCTAAAATTAAGTACTATGAATAACCAACAGTTACTTAGCATAGGTATCATGTCATTGAAGTGCTCAACCTTCTAGCCTCCTGATACTAATGTCATATTAATTCCTTCAGGGAGTTGTCAGCTGTTGTGGATCATGTAAACACAGTCTAAATGTAACCATCATTTACCTTATTTTATTCTTCCTACTTTCCAGGATTAATAGTCAACTGCAAGCAAAAGCTGTACTGAAGACGTTACCGATGATCATATACAGCTTGTGATAAGCAAAGCACATGAAAGGCTGTCATAGATCTCAAGGAATGTCAAGATGCTTTATAGTCATATCACCCAACCTCACTGTGAAAAGACTGAGGATTTGCCGAAATGCATGCTTTATTAAAATCTGAAAACTTTCATCAGCATATTTTTTTAAGATACTACAAATAGACTATATGACTGTCATTTCAACCAGGAACACACTGGCCTCAGTCACCTGCCAATTGAATGCACTCTGTTTGTGATCTGTGTTTTACAGGAATGCAAAAATGCACAACAAAAATTCACTGCCTGTGCTTTTAAATGCCTAAGAAAGGGTAGAACAAAATGAAAAAGATTTTCAGGAACAGGACATGTTTTAAATTAGGTCGATAAGCTAGATATGCGCATGGGGTTATTACCACACAGCTTTATCTGAAAGCTCTGGTGCCAGCCTTGTTACAATTCCACACCATCACCACACTGAGAGCAGAACGTGTCTCAAAAAAGGCATGGTGTGCCACGTCCAGAACGCAAATGCTGGGCACTATCCTGACAGAAGGGCCTTAACAGAGCTGGTAAAGCTGAGGGAAAAAAACGGCAATAAACATTAGAGGGAAAGAGCACAGAACCACATCTTAAAAAATGTGGTCCAGGAAGTGGAAGCCTAATAAGAATTATTATTAAAATTTGTCAAATTCACAAAGGGCGTGGCTGTGTTTAAACTAGAGTTTCTTAACAAATCCTGATTTAATCTAATGGGTCACTGGGTCCTAATTATTATTTTAACTAATTGATTCTTCTCAAATTATCACTGAATAATTCATCACAACACAAGTAATTTTATAGGAAAATATCAAGAGTCTCAAATATAAATGGCTTACTAGGTAAAATTTAATTTTATATAATTGGCATTTTTCTAATGATTAATTTTTACCAACAGGTGAGGGGAAAGCTTCTAAGATTTAGGAGCTTTTCACCCAACAACAAGTTTCTCAGCAAAACTCATGGCTTTTCTCTAACCCACATTCTATCATTTAGGATCTTAAAAGTCTCCTCTTGGAATAGTTCTATATATGCATTATCACAATTTGAAATTCTGTATTAAACTGTGAGTTTATTTAATGTGTTGTTTCCTCCACTCCACTCACTGCTATGTATCTAGTACAAAATAGACCATCAAAAATGAATTTAATATTGAATGAATGAAACATGATAGAA